GCCGGTTGAGCTATAGGCGCCGAGCCTGTGCTGTGGGCTTTGATAGGAATGCAGTAATAGTGGCTTTTTCTTCAAAATCATGGGATGTAGAGACTGCAACGGAATTGCTTCTGAGTAACTGAGGCACAAAAAGAGAGCTGCTGATATAGTCAAGCTTGCCTCTTCTTGAAGAGCACCAACATCTGTTATTTTTAGAATTTTGCATAAATTTCTTTTAAACTGGCATTCTTACCTAACAACGTTATCTAGACACCACTGGAGACTGAAAAGAAAAATCCCTGCTCTGTAAATAAAGCTAATTAAACGTTTGTATAAATTAAAAACAAAAATAGCCAGGTATTGTGGCAGGCACCTGTAGTCCCACCTACTTGGGAGGCTGAGGCAAGAGAATTGCTTAAGCCCAGGAGTTGGAGGTTGCTGTGAACTGTGATTCCACAGCACTCTACTGAGGGCCACAAAGTGAGACTCTGTCTCAAAAAAATAATAAATAAATAAATAAATAAATAAGAAAGAAAAACTAGCCAGACATTGTGGTAAGTGCCTGTAGTCCCAGCTACTTGAGAGGCTGAGACAAGGGGATCACTTGAGCCCAAGAGTTTGAGGTTGTTGTGAGCTACATGCCATGGCACCCAACCCTAGGGGGCAACTGAGTCAGACTTTGTCGCAAAATGAAAAGAATGAAAAGCATACATTGGGGGAAAGAATCCCTGTTTGATAAGTTGTGCTGGGAGAACTGGTTAGCCACATGTAAAAGACTGGACCTGTACTTCTCACCACTTACAAAAATTGACTAATGCTAGATAAAAGATTTAAATCTAAGAAATGAAACAATACCAACTCTAAGAGAAAGTGTAGGAATAACTCTTGATGGGAAAAGATTTTATGAAGAAGACTCCATTGGCAATTGCAGGAACACCAAAAATAAATCAGTGGGACCTGATCAAACTAAAAAGCTTCTGCACAGCTAAGAGCACAACAACTAAAGCAAATAGCCTTCAGGATAGGAGAAGATATTCACATGTTACAAATCGGACAAAAGCCTAATAACCAGAATCTACAGAGAACTCAAACTAATGAACAAAAGAAGAGCAAACAATCCCTTGAGCAAGAAACATGAACAAAGAATTGTAGAAGACATTACAAGAAATATTGAGCTATTCAGGCAAAAAGAGTATCAGACCAGAAAAAAAATGTGAATCTACACAAACAAATTAAGAGCACTGAAAATAAAAAATACAACTTATTTTGTCTATTATTTTTTTTTTGGCTTTAAAAGAGAACTGACTGTCTAAAGCAAAAATGGTAGCAATGAATTGTGTTTATAGCTATGTAAAAGTAAAATGTATGACAACAATAGCACCAAGGATGGGAGGTGAGAATTAGGAATAATTGTTTGAGGTCCTTTACTATACATGAAGTTGTATAATATTATTTGAAGATAGACTCTGACTAATTATAGATGATGTATATTATAAACCCTAAAGCAATACAAAAGTTTTAGAAGTATAAAAGTCAGTGGAGATAAAATGGAATATAAAATTCTCCATTAATGTAAGAAAAGGCAGAAAAAGAAGTTAAAGGAAACGTCAGTATGGAACAAATAGAAATGAGTGGCAAGATGATAGCTTTTAGTCCAGATAATCAATAATCATGTTAAATGTGAAAGATCTAAATATTCAATTAAAGAGAATAATTAGAGTGGATAAGAAAAGGCAAGCACAAATATGCTGCCTATGAACATCAATGTAAGGATGAGGTCGTGCTAGGGGTATGTACATTTGGGGCTTGATAGGCAATTGACTTGATAGTCAATTTTCATAGGTATTTTCTTTGTAATTGTTAAATTATGTGTGTTTTTGTAAATGAATATTCACAATAAATAAAAATAAAGTTAACTGATAATTAAAAGTCTACTGAGGCAGGAAGGGATCTTTGTCTCTTTCTTTCATTTGGACATGCAGACTTGGTATTTCATGAGGCTGTACCTGGCTTTCATGAACTGAGCGTACCTAATGTTTGCTGCAGCTTTGGAATCAGTCCTGGGATATACAAGATCTTGTAACCCAAAGAGAGAATGAAAGGCAAAGCTCTTGGTCCAAACATACAGACAAGCCAGAGAATCTCAGTACCAGAAGGACCTCAGAGGTCACCTGGTTCTCTTGCTCCTCACAGTGTGGTCCAAAGACCAGCAGCATTAGCAATTCCAGAGACCTTGTTAGAATCCTGGGTCCAGTCATCCATACCTCATCAGAATCTGCATATTAACAAAGTCCCTAGCTGCCATGGTAGGGGTGGTATGTAGCATCTTGAAAGCTTTGTTGACTTTTATTCAGATTGAACACTTGGCTCACATAGGATACGTACCAGGAATCGTACCTGGGAATCTCCATACATACCAGGAATTGGTCCCAAGCTTTTATTCATGAAGTAAGTACATATTGAGTGTCTGCTGCACAATAGACCCCAAGACAGTCTCTGGTCCCAGAGACCACACACATTTTGGACAATAATAAATGAACAGATTCACAACACAGGGCAGGACCTCTTGTGAGTTAGCACAGGGTGCTCCAGATCCACATGGATTGAGCATCTCACCCAGACAAGGAGAGTGGTGTACATGGGCTCCTTCTTGGGTAAGGAGCTGTCTGCCCTGACCTTTGAAGTATGAATTAGCCAAACCAAGGTGAGGGAAGAGTAGGAAAACATTCCAGATAGCATGTGTGAAGGTGTATCTTAGTACATCTCCACCTCTTGGTAATGAAAATATGTTATCTTATGGGAGAAACTTCTTGAGCTTTTCCCTTTCCTGTGCCTAGCATTGGTCCCATAGTGCCCCAGACACAAATAGTCCCATATTGGTCCCTGACTGATAAACTCTGGTAACTCTTCTGCTCTGTCCTTTTTAAGAAATAAGACCTCACCAGGTTGTTTAGGCTGCAGTGCAGTGACTATTCACGGGTGTGATCACAGTCCAATGCAACCTTGAACTTCTAGGTTCAGCCTTTGAGTAGCTGAGACTAAGGCACCTGCCACCACACCCAGATTCTTCTGTGTCTTTGATATAATGACTGATTTCCTTTTTTTGTAATAGGCACAGGCATCCAATGGAGGAACATGGGCAATGTAAGCGGAGAGTTTAACTTCACTCAGGTACTGCTGATGCTACTACTGGACTCTTTCTTATATGGCTTGGTGGCCTGGTATGTGGAGTCCATCTTCCCAGGAAAGTATGGTACACCCAAGCCTTGGTACTTCTTTGCCCTGGTGAGTACTAATGCTGCTGTTTTATAGATTGGTGTGAGACTTTACATTGTTTTTGTTTTTTTCTTTTTTTGAGACAGAGTCTTACTATGTCACCCTTGGTAGAGTGTCATGGCATCATAGCTCACAGCAACCTCAAACTCTTGGGCTTAAGTGATTCTCTTGCCTCAGCCTCCCAAGTAGCTGGGACTAAAGGTGCCCACCACAACGCCTGGCTATTTTGGAGGTGTAGTTGTCATTGTTGTTTAGCAGGCCCAGGCCAGGCTTGAACCCACAAGCCTTGGTGTATGTGACTAGCACCCTACTCACTAAGCTATAGGTGCCAACCCAGACTTTACATTGTTATCACCAGTATTCCTATCCCTCTCAGTGATGTTCTGATTCAAATCTCAAACTACAGGAAGTCTCTAACCTGGGTACATCCTAAACCTATTAGCGTATGGTTGCCAATGGAGCATAATTAACAGTGAGTCTAAGTTTCTCTGACTCTTACCCCACAGCTCATGCCTGGCATCAGTCCATACAGAGGCTGCCCACCCCTGAGAGTACCTGTGGATGTCTTACATGTGCCCTCTCAAATGTCAGACCCACATGTTCCCAACATGCTAAAGTTCTCAACATTGGCTCTTTCCCCATTTAACTGCACTGTTGAAATAGCCCTGAAGCTCTTTGAGACCTCTGTGATTCCCAGGGCCCTGGCAAGAGATAGCTCTTAAAGTTCTCAGAATTCTCTCCTATGATGATCAAGTTTTTCTTACAAAGCTGAGCTCTTCATGCCTGATTCACTCCTCCCACAGTAGCATCTGGTGGCCTTCCTTCATGGTCTTCCTATGACTGATCCTGTCTAAATCACACAGGTACTCAGTTGGGACCTCTGCAGAGGCTGCCACACTTGCCTTTCATGCAATGTGGGGGAAATGTACAGATAGTTAATTTCAGTATTTCTCCAGGCCTCTACCCACAAGGATGCTGAGTGCTGACACAATGGCTTCCCTAAGACACCAGGAGCCTGAGTATGAGTCATCTTTTGTAACTCCATCCCAGGACCATAGGTTGTAGGTTGGAATGCAGTTGATTAGTAGTGAGTCTATGAGTGTTGCTTAACTTTTCCAGGCATCGTTAAATATTTGATACAACAAGTAAACTGCAGGGCTGGAGGGGGGATTCTAATTTACCAAAATATTTATCTTCCAGAAAAGGAAGTCACTTCACCTAAATGATTAATGTGTAAGTTGACTCTTCTCCAGCCCTCCTACTGGCATGGAAAACCTATACCTGCTACACGATCACTGCTGAATATGAGAGATCCTGTAAAAGCTCTGAAAAGTGAGTTTATTCAGAAAGAGCCTACTGATTTGATCAAAGGAATTGAAATTCAGGATCTGTACAAGGTATCAGCTCACAAATTTCCTCCCAAGTTCTTAAGAAATAGTACATACAAGTTTCTATTTTATTCTAACGGTTATTACATGGTATGTTTTGTTAGTGAAAATTTAAATTCTCTTCTGTTATGCTATCCTCAAAATTATAAATATAACTTGAAATGTCCCATTTCCTGTCATAAAGTTAAGTGACTGGATAGAAAGTCTAGATGTCATGTCTCTTTAAAGCAGTCACTTCTCATCTTGGAGAGATTGGAATTCAGCCATTTAAAAGATGGCTTTTATATAATGAAATCACTTGTTAAACCAGATTTCACTGTTGACTTTCAAATGTAGTAGAGGCATTTAGTCTTTCATAAGGGTTTGCTGAGCCCTCACACGTGGAGACCCTTGAGTTGACTGAGGACTACCATAACAGCATGCCTGGACATAAGCTATGTGCCTGGAGTGTCATACTGTGGAGAGCATTGTTATTTTGTGTGAAGGACATGGCAGTGTGCTGCCTTCTTCTGCTTGTGGAATCAAGTAGATCCTGAAATGGGTGCTAGTTCCAGCTCCTCCATGCACTGTGGTGCTAGTTAGAAATCCTTGATTCTCCACCCAACTTACTGTAGGAATTTTCATTTCTTTTATCACCCAAAAAAACAGTTAAGGCAGATGATTCTGGTATTATTTCAGCTATTCAATAAAACTATCCCAGACCACAGCTCCTTTTGATTGATTGATTGATTTTTCCCCAGGCCATTTATAGCCTGTTAGCTTTCTTTTATTCCTGCTTATCATCTCATGGCTACAAAATGGATACTTAGTTCCTCTAAGGCAGCAGTTCTCAATCTGTGGGTTGTGACCCCTTTAGACTGTATTAAAGGTTTGCGGCATTAGGAAGGTCGAGAACAACTGTTCTAAGGGGAGAGATAAGAATTAAAATGCTTTCTTTTGGCAAGACTTCCTTCTTTCCTAATACCCCTTATTTTTAGTTCTGAGGATTCTGTCACATGGTTGCCTCTACTGCAAGGAAAACTGAGAAGTCAGGGAACAGGATTATCATATTTGATTTAAAACAATTGAGGCACAGTGACTCACTCCTCTAATCCTAGAACACTGGGAGGCCAAGGCAGGAGAATTGCTTGAAGCCAGGAGTTTGAGACCTGCCTGAGCAAGAATGAGACCCCATCTCTACTAAAAATAGAAAAAAATAGCTTTGTGCTGTGTTCCAAGCCTGTAGTCCCAGCTACTCAGGAGGCTAATGCAGGAGGATCCCTTCAGCCCAGGAGTGTGGGTTTGCTATGAGCTATGACACAGCCCTCTAGACTAGGATAACAGACTGGTCCTGTTTTTCCAAACAGACAAGCAAACAGACAAATAATCAAATGGAAATGGGAGCAGGGGAGGTTGCCAAATTACTTTCAGTAGCACTCTGCTCCCAAACATAATTACAGCTGACCCTTTAACAACACAAGTTTGAACTGTGTAGGTCTACTTATACTATGATTTTTCTCAGCCAAATGCTGATTGAAAATACAGTATTTAGGGATGTGAAACCTGAGTATATGGAGGGTATACACAGGTTCCACAGGGCCAACTATGGAGCATGATTGTGCATGGATTTTGATATACACTGGATCTTGGAACTGATCTCCCACATATACCAAGGGACAGCTGTCAATAGATTGTGGAGTAAGTAACATCTAAGTCCCACTCAACTATAGTGTCTGGACTCCAGACCCCAAGTCCAGCCCAAATGCCATTTAGGACAGAAATCATCTAAGGCATATATATTAAAATTCTGTACTATCTCAGGGGTTGACATAGAAGATTTTTATTTTTATCTTCTTTATATTCTATGTATGAATTATTTATAGAATTAAAAAATCAATGGTATTTGAAATATTAGAGACATTTGACTTGAAAAATAGGCTGCTTTTTCTGGGATTCCCTCCCCAGATTGACATCTCCAGCAAAAGTGTCAAGGTGCCCTTTCTCAAAGGTTTGGCCTAGCGGTACAGAGCAAGGCATAGCTTCAGAAACAGAGGTAAGAAGGCCTGTTCATGCTGCAGGCACTAGACCCTCTGTGGTTTAAGTGCTCAGTTGCCAGGTTCCGGAGGTCAGGGAGATCATGGGATTGCTCCAGGTCAGCTTCCTAAGTACTACAGCCAGTTAGACACTAAAAGAAGGGGCTCCCTATTTAAGATTTCCACTTGGATTCCTGATGATGAACTTTCAAAGGAAATTGGTGGGTGTGGAACCTATCATAGGTTCTTCAGAAATGTTCTTCTGTTTGTACATGTTAAATTATCTGTCACACCTTTGACTTCCATACCACCTTTTCCTAGGTGTTTCACAGAGGAAGGACTAAGCACATAGCAGTCAAAGGTCTGACCATGAATCTATACAGAGGACAGATCACTGTTCTTCTGGGACATAATGGAGCAGGGAAAACCTCCACCTGCTTCATGCTCATAGGTTTGTTATTTATTACATCTTTTTTTCTAACCTTGTAGCAGTAAGAATTTATTGCTGGCTTGACTCCCGTAGCACAGTGGTTACAGCAGCAGCCACATACACGGAGGGTGGCAGGTTCAAACCCAGCCCAGGTCAGCTAAACAACTGCAACAACAACAACAACAAAAAATAGCTGGGCGTTGTGGCAGGCACCTGCTGTCCCACCTACTTGGGAGGCTGAAGCAAGAGAATTGCTTAAGCCCAAGAATTTGAGGTTGCTGTGAGCTGTGATGCCACAGCACTCTGCTGAAGGCAACATAGTGAAACTGTCTCAAAAAAAAAAAAAAAAGAAAAGAATTTATTGCCTTTTTCAAACTGAAAAATATACTTAAATAAGGAAATTAAAATAAAGGCAAAGTTAATATACAAGGGAACAGACTGCAAGGTTTTACTCTGGGACACATTTGGTAGTGAATGTAGTCATTAATTCTTTCATTCATTTATTTATTAGGAATCAGAGATAAGTCATAGACCTTGCCTTTAAGAATCTCAATTCAAAGGCTAGGTGCAGTGGCTCACACCTATAAACCCAGCACTCTGGGAGGCCAAGGTGGGGAACATCACCTGAGCTCAGGAGTTCAAGACCAGCCTGAGCTAGAGTGAGACCCTATTTCTGAAAATAGCCAGGCATTTTGGCAGGCGCCAGTAGTCCCAGCTACTTGGGAGGCTGAGGCAAGAGAATCACTTAAGCCCAAGAGTTTGAGGTTGCTGTGAGCTATGATGCCATGGCACTCTACTGAGGGCAATGAAGTGAGACTCTGTCTCCAAAAACAAACAAAATGGTTAAATTCTCAATATACTGTCTCCTTAATCATATTTGCTAGGCATCCAAATAATTATTTAATACTTAGAGTAGTATCATTTGCTTTTATTCACTTAACCATATTGGAAAGACCTCTCCTATCTCTAATATTCCCTTTGTGAACTTGTAGATTGTAATATATAGAACATGTACTCCTTGGATGTTACTCATTGACTGTGGCAAAGAAATAAAATAAGGATAGTCTGTGTGAAAACAAGCAAACAAAGCAAAAGGTATCATTAGGCTTTGTATTGCCGTGTGCTCTTACTGAAGATGACATTACCACGTGTCTTCTACTTGTTCTAGGTCTTATTCCCCCTACCAGTGGACAGGCTTATGTCAACGGATATGAAATTTCACAAGACATGTTTCACATTAGGAAGAGCTTAGGCTGGTGCCCCCAACATGATATCTTATTTGAAAACTTCACAGTAGCAGAACATCTTTCTTTCTATGCTCAGGTGAGTTGATGATAACAGGTATTTGTTTCCTCCGCCCGCATTCTTGGGAATAGTGACTAGACCACAGTTCTGTGATTCCACCTGGGAAAGTTTGAAGCCTCATGTTTCTCTCAACACTTTTGATACCAAATGTGTGGTGACTTTCTCCAATTCCAGACACCAATTGAGTGTTCTACTCTGACACACCTGGAGTTAGCACAGACCCACAGGTTTAGGGATCAGTCAAGATGCTCCCCCTTTCAGGTGCCAGTTATAAGTCCCAGGTTGTCAAGTATACTTCTAACCAAATGGCTGTCAGTTGGGGGTTCTCACAATCCCCTCCATAGTTCAGTAATTTGCTGTAACAGCTCACAAAACTCAGGTGAACACCAGATGAGGAAGTACATGGGTCAAGGTATGTGGAAATAGGTACAGAACTTCCATGCGACCTTTGCAACTAGCTAGAAACTCTTCAAAACCTGAAGTTTAGGCTTCATCATGATCAATTATTAGCTCAATCTCCAGCCCCTCCCCTCTCCCTGAAGGGTAGGGGAGCTTCTAATCATGCATTGGTCTTTCTGGTGACCAGTTCCCATCCTGAAGCTATGTAAAAGCCTACCAAGAGTCACCTCATTAGAATAAAAGACATTCCTGTCACCTAGGAAGTTCCAAGAGATTTAAGAACCAAATCAAATATTAAATCAAAGACCAAATATTAAAACAAAATGTTTCTAGTTACCTCTATCACTTAGGAAATTATAAGGCATGTAGGAGCTCTGTCAGGAACCAGGGCAGAGACAAAATAGTATATTTCTGACTATGTCACAATCTAGAAACCTCTTATGGACATAATTACCCAAACATTCAGGAAGGAGGAGAGGCATGGCATTTGAGTCAAGATTTCTGAGGTAAAGGATTTCTAGAAACTATTTTATTTATATATATATATATATATATAATTTATTTATTTTTTTTTTTTGAGCCAGGCCGGAGTCAGTGGTTCTATCATAGCTCACTGTAGCCTTGAACTCCTGGGTTCAAGGGATCTTCCTGCCTTAGCCTCTGAATAGTTGGGACTGCAGGCACTTACCACCATGCCTGGCTAATTTTTTAATTCTTTTATTGAGATAGGTTCTCACAATGTTTCCCAGGCTACTCTTAAACTCCTGGCCTCAAGCAACCCTCCTACCTCCAGTCTCTCAAAGTGCTGGAATTACAGCTGTGAGTCACCATGCCCAGGCTGATTTTTTACATTTAATTTTCACTTTTTATTGAGATGAAATTTACCATTTTACAATGTTCAATTCACTGGTTTTTAGTATACTCACAACATTATGCAACCATCACCACTATCTAATTGCAGAACATTTTCATTACCCACAAAAGAAACTTATACACAGTGACTTCTCATTGTTCCCTCCCTGCAGTGTGTGGCAACCCCAATTTGATTTATATCTCTATGGATTTGCCTATCTTGGATATTTCATATAAATACAATCATAAAATATGTGGCTTTTTGTGTCTGGCTTATTTCACATAACAGTATTTTTAAGATTTACCACATTTTATCATGTATCAATAATTCACTCCTTTTCATACCTGGATAATATCCATTCAAAACTTAGTTGAATATTTATCCATTCATCAGTTTATGGACATCTGGGTTGTTTTCACCCTTTGGCTGTTGCCAATACTGTTGCTTTGAACATTGGCATTTACATTTTTATTTGAACACCTATTTTCAGTACTTTAGTAAATACCCAGGAGTGAAATTCATGGGTCCTATATTCTGTATTTAACTTTTTTCTTTTTTTTTTTTTAACTTTTTGAGAAACTGCCATTATAATGGGTGTAAAACAAGGGTACAAGTAAATCTTTCTAAGAGTAGAATATGAACATTTTAACACAATACCTAAGAAAATGACATGAAGGCTATGTTAACCAGTTTGATGGAAGTGTTTCGGATTGTGTGTGAAAACACCACACTGTACCCCAGAAGTGCATTAATGTACATAGTTACCATTCAATAAAAAAGAAAAAAAAATGGGTATAAAGTAGTATCTTACAGTTTTGATTTGCATTTCCCTGATGACTATCTTTTTATGTGCTAATTGGCCATTTATATACTTCTTTAGAGAAATATTTATCCAAGTCCTTGGCTTATTTTTTAGTTGGGTTTTTATCTTTTTGTTGTTGAGTTGTAAGAGGTGTTTTTAATATATTCCACACACCACACCCTTATGAAACACATGATTTGCAAATATTTTCTCCTATTCTGTGGATTCTCTTTTCCCTGTATTGATGGTATTCTTTGATACACAGAAGTTTTATATTTTGATGATCATATTTATGCTTTTGATATTATATTTTAAAAACCATTGTGTGTGGGCTGTGCCTGTGGCTCAAGGAGTAGGGCCCCATATGCGGGAGGTGGTGGGTTCATAACCTGGCCCTGGCCACAAACAAACAAACAAACAAAAACCATTGTGTGAGATTTACACCTGTATTTCCTTCTAAGATTTCATAGTTCTTACATTTAAGTCTTTGATCCCTTATGAGTAAATTTTTATATGCAATGTGAGCAGAGGTCCACATTTATTCTTTTCAGTGTGGATAGCCAGTTATCTCGGCACCATTTGTTCAGAAGACTGTTCTTTCCCCTTTGAATAATCTTGGCACCCTTATCAAAATCAATTTACTGTAGACTAAGGTGACCAGATTTTAACATTAGTAAAGTGGGACACCATTGGGGAGGTGGGGCCTGACAACAATGCAAACTTTGATAAACAGTTCTCGATAATCAGTTCTCAACAATTATTTGTTATTATTAAAGTTTAACATTATAAAATTAACAAAAATAATATAAAACGCATATCCTGGTGAAATAGCCACATGGCAGCCGAAACTGTATATTCCCTTCCTGTTCTCCTGTGTTCCTTAGCTTGTTGTGCATTCTTTCCAAAAATCCAGGCTTTTTTAAAACATCGCAGGACACAGGACAAATTGTTAAAAATCAGGACTGTCCTGCCAAAAGTGGGACGTCTGGTCACCTTACAAGGGTACTTGTTTGTTCCAGGTAGTTTGGCTCCCTCTGAGCTAATTGTCCTTGCCTAGAAGCAAGGGAGGGAGCCATCTCCTTCTGATACCTTGTCCAGGAGGGGAGTAGGGAGTTTACACTAGCCTTTTCATTTCCAAATGAAGTTACATTAACCTCTTCATTCCCAAATGGAGTTACATTAACCTCTGTATTCCCAAATGGAGTTACATTAACCTTTTCAGCAGGGGAAAACCGTATATTCCCTTCCCATTTCCCGCTGTTCCCTACATGTCATGCATTCTTTCCAAAAATCGGGACTTTTTTAAAATGACACAGAACGTGGGACAAATTGTTAAAAATCAGGACTGTCCTGCCAAAAGTGGGACGTCTGGTCACCTTACTGTAGACACAAATTAGAACTATTTCTATATGCTCAATGCTATCCTATTTTTCTGCATGTCTGTCCTTAGGCCAGTAGTGTTGCAGGAAGATGAGGCCCAACGGAAAGAAAGAGCAGCCAAACACCACATTTATAAGAGGAAGGGCTTTATTCACCAGCTGAGAGCTTACGGTATAGAATTCCAAATGACCGTGCTCCCTGACTGGCTTGGTCTTTCCCTTTTTATGGACAGTCAAAAAGTTCCACCCCACAGGTACCCTTCTCATTGGCCAGTTTAAATCAAGCAGGAGATGCTATTCCAGCCCCTACAGAACTACGGGATTTCACAGAACTTGGAAATTTCCGTTCTAGGAAGTTAAGTTTACAAATTCCCAAGAACTGAATCACCATGGAGAGGACCCTGCAGGTGTAATCTTGTGGTGTCCTTGAGAAGACCTGTTCTCCTAGACCTCACCCTTCTTGGTATCCTCTCTCAGTAGCACAGGTATTCATTACTGTAGTTTGTAGTAAATTTTGAAATCAGGAAGT